GAATTTTGAAACATGCTTGGAAAGTTCTGCAGTCTTCAGAGTCAGTTTGTCGGGTACTTTTGCCTCCTTTCTATGGCCCTCATTAGCTTTCTTCAGGGCATTGTTCGGTATTATTTCACCTCCTTTCTCTAGCCCTTGACTCACTATAATTCATGGCATTATTCAGTACTGTTTTGCCTCCTTCCCCAGCGCTGGCCCACTCTTTTTCACAATCTTCTTCACTACTTCTTTGCCTGTTAATTCTTGCTTTCTGTTTTTTGGCTTCTGGGCAACCCTATCTTAAAAACATTAGATCAACCTCCACTATTGTTTGTCGACATAACAAATAGAAACAAGTTTTCTTTTCTTTAAAAATCCCGCCAAGAAAAATGACATTCTTCCGCTACAAATCGAGGGTGCATGTCTCTGTCAACCTATTAGCTGGAGTATGGCCACCATGTTGGGCAACTCTGTCACCGTTGTTGCCATCGTGCGTACGCACCCATGAGCAATACTGCTAGCCATGATAACCAGGAGAAAATCCTTTCATGGGTTTTCTTTTCTTTCCTATGAGTATGGGGCTCTGCTTGGCGGCCCTTTGGGCCGCCAGAGCTCCGCTACAATTGAATATAATGTTACAGAGTGATGATGAGCTCATTCAAAAATTAGCTGCCTTAGATGATGGAAGAGTTGTCATTAACCGTTTTCTATTATTGGTGCCAAAATTAATTCTGAAGGATAGTCTATATGACAATTTTGTCAGCTCATTTTTGAAAGAAACAAAACGGCCCTATCTTAGATCAATGTATCAAGTGTCTGCTCCCTCACAAGCTAGTGGTTTTTATCAGATATCAGCAAGTGTGGATAACCTCAACACATATTTGTATATCTCCAAAGAAATAAAAAAAATGTAGTGGCAGAAAATCCTTACTTATTTGATACTTATAAACTAAATGCTGCTGATAATGCCAGTTATTTAACAACATGTAGACTAGAATATGGAAATGGTATTTTTTAATCCAGAAACTGAGTATAATACAGAAAGTAAGGTGAGAATTTTTAATGATTTGATGTCTTATGCTGCAAGAAGTGATTATAACAATGGTACACAACTGAATCTTGCAAATTTTAATAGTCTTTATGGTATGATATATATTGATTTAACAAACCAAACAGAAAAAGTTACAAGAGATCCCAAACAGTTAATTTTCAGAAACAAAATAGATGTTGCTCCAGCAGCTGCATTCAATGTTCATGCAATTGTCTTTTACAAAGAGATGGTTGTGATTAACAAAATTGGTAATGAGTTAGTTATTGTGTAAGATTTTCAGATGATAAAATAGGAAATAGGTTAGTTATTGTTTAATCCTCATTATGAGGATGTTTTTTAAAATATATATTTTATGATCAATTTGATATAATATATATAATATATGATGGAATTATTTGAAATAAAGGTGAAGTTATCACCAAACCAGAAAAAGAATCTTGCTAGATCACTTCATAAGCGTGCAACCATTGTTCTCAGGCTTTAGAAAAATGCTGTCAGGAACAACACTTTATATGTTCCGCAAAATGTTGTAAAACGATTGCAAAAGAATAAGCAACTCAATAAAGGAATGGACATCAAACTGGCTAAGACCAATATAAGAAATCAAGTTGGAGGTAGACTGCTGACAAGTATCATTAGCCTCGGTCGTACTTTTGCGCCTCAAATAGCCAAAACACTTGGATTATCTGCATTGGCTGGATTAGCTTCAGAAGGTGCTTCCCAAGTTGTTAAGAAAATATCAGGAAGAGGTCAACCAGGTGGTTTCAAGATTACACAAAACAAAATCAATCAGATGATAGCTAATAAACATCTTTTGACTACAAAACAGAAACAAGACATTTTGAATGCTCTACAAACAGGTAGAAGTCTTACAATAAGACCAACAAGAGTTCAATCAGGTGGATTTCTAGGTAGTTTGCTTGCTTCAATTGGTGTTCCAATAGCTGTTGATTTAGTTAGTAAACTTTTCAAAGGTAGTGGGGCTCCACGAATGGGAGCGCCACCAAAAACAAAATCAAAAGGTGGTTCAGCTCCTCAAATAGGACAGCCACCTCCTTTTATTGGTACTTGGGATAAAACAATGGGTTATGGAACAAAAAAGATCTCGAAAAGGAAAGAGACTACTATTAGGAAAAAACAGCCCATTCAACTCAATTCCTAATAGGAGCAATATTATAAAACCTAGGATGAAATCCTCTCAATTTCCCAAAAATATTCTGATGAGCAACCATGATTTAATAGAATGGTGTCAATATCCCAAATACCCATAAAGGAGGTTTTGTCGAGAGATCAAACAGTACCTCATAATCATAAGCAAGCATTATTTATTTACAATCTTGAACCTT